GGCGGGGCCAACAGAGCAGCCTTGGAGAGGTGCTGGGCGCAGGGCGGGCGGGGCCAACAGAGCAGCCTTGGAGAGGCACTGGGCACAGGGCGGGCGGGGCCGTGAGCAGAGAAGGTGCATCTTCCACAGAGGGCCGCATTCCACAAGTCACCATCTGTGCCAATCCCAGGGGCAAAGTACACCAGCATCACGGCAGGCGTGAATTAACCATGGACTTTTGAAAGAAAATTTTGAGGCACTGATCATGATGCATTAAAATTCAATTAATAGAAGTGTACTTGGATCCTACAGAATGTTCAAGTTACTTAAGGAAAAAAAAATTAAGGAAATTGAAGACGCTAAGGAAAAAGAAATACTAAGTACGGAGGAAGTCAGAGAATTACAAGACACCTTAATGTACTTCTGTTCTTCATCCTCAATATCAAAACCTAGTCAGTGTTGGTAACCATGGTTTATTTCTTTCTTTCTTTCTTTCTTTCTTTGAGACAGTCTTGCTCTGTCACCCAGGCTGGAGTGCAGTGGCACGATCTTGGCTCACTGCAACCTTCGCCTCCCAAGTTCAAGCAATTCTCCTGCCTCAGCCTCTTGAGTAGCTGGGACTACAGGCACACGCCACCTCACCCCGCTAATTTTTGTATTTTTAGTAGAGATGCGGTTTCACCATGTTGGCCAGGCTGGCCTCGAACTCCTGACCTCGAGTGATCCACCTGCCTCTGCACCAGGCCCATGGTTTGTTATCTATGCAATGAGATCAGTGTTACAGCTCTGTGAGTCCAAAGTCCACCTGTATCCCCCAGGATAGGAGGGGAGGGCAGGTGGCTGGGGACGGGCACACACACACTGGCACCCACACAACATGACTAGGTCAGCACATGTGGACAGAGGTCCTGGGGTGCTGTTTTCTCATCTGCCCAGGAGCACCGTAAAGGGAGTTTCCAAACCTCGGATGCTAAGGATACGGAACTTAATGGAGCACAGCGACTATCGATGCAGAACAAGTGTCTCGAAGGTGACTATAATTAATACAGTCAGAAACAATAAAAAATTAAACATTTGGATTCCGATGGCTGTGTTGGATTTTCTGGTTATAAACCACGTTGACTCTACCATCCAGGATTCCAAATCGAACGCCTGCATTTGTCAGTTACCAGGCTAGCGCAGGAACAGCCGGCCTCGTGAGGCCCCGTCGCCGACACAAACACCATCCGTAACTAACACACAAACACCACCACAGCCCCGCGCCGGGAACGACCGTGCTCACCGTACCTTGATCTGCTGTCGGGAGTGACTTGAGATGAGATGGAGACATCCCAAAGTGTCATTTATCAGCCACTGCCAACCATCTGTCAAAGAAACAAGTTAGCGTACCCAGGCCAGAGTGGTGAGTTGAAATCAAAAACAACAGCAAAAAATAGCTTCTATTAAAACTAATCTTAAAGTTGACAGTAACCTTTGAGGTGAATCTGTGGAAAAGCAGAACTGAACATTCTCTATGTTGTGGTAAGTCTGAGGCCCCTTCCATGTGAAGGGAAAAGGCCGTCTCACGGCTGTTAAATTGTGTTAAGCTCTTAGTGGGGGAAACACCAGCATTCTGTAAACTTTTATACATCATATTTTGGGAAACTTTCATTCTTTTGTTACCCCTAATCTTTTCCTTCAAACGGTCTCCCCGGCTCCCACCAATATAAACCCAAATCTTTAACTCAATTAGATCCTGCAAAAGCAACAAATGTGAAGGCTATTCAATCCAAAAAAAAAAAAGTCCTAACTTCTGAGGCTGCTGAGACAGCCCCGGGACACGACAGCCCTGGGGACTCCCTTCACTGTGCTCTGGTGGCCCCGTGTCGGGACTGCTGAGGGGCCGCAGGCACTCTGCCCGCAGGGTCCGTGGTGCCAGCGGCCAGCACTCTCCAGGTCCACGAGGGCCTGGGTCGCTGCATCTCCCGACTGTCTGCCTGGGAGAAGAACTGACACAGAGACCCAGGCACCGGGCATGGCAGCGAGGAGATGGGGGCACTGAGGTGGTGGCGGGGAAGGGCCCTCCTGTGTATGGGGAAGAGGGTGTAAGGCACCCATTATTCAAGCAGATTCTTGTAGCAACTTCAAGGCAACATATCCAATTAATAATATCGTGAACCTTTAAGCTATAATCCTTTATCGCCCCCATCCTAACAGGTTCATTTTTACCTTTTAATCTGAAGTCATTCTGGAAGCAAATGCTATTAAAAACAAAAGCACTTACCAATTATGGTGTCACCTTGAAAGGGCATTTTGGAAAGTGACAACTTTTCTATTAAAACGCACACTGTGGGGGGGGAAAAAAAAGGATAGACACAATGTTAGTTTTCCAAAAGCTCCTGCCACGGCGCCTTGCCCTGGCCGCATTCTGAACTGTGTGTGGCCAGCTCCTGCCCCCCGCCCACCCGACCTACCCTGCTGCCAGAGCTGGGAACATCCCAGAACCATTTCGGAGCCACCACGAGAAGCCCAGACGCCTTCTCCGCTGAGCAGCCTGAAGAAAGTGCCGTAGACCCAGCCACGCGGCCAGGCCCACTTGCACTTCAGAGAAGCTGGGCCGGCCTGTCAGGGAGCTGCAGACATCCCTGTAACTGAGGCTTCTGCTCCTGGACCTGTCACTCAGGACCCAAGCGACAGACAGCCATCACCCACACTGCTCCAGACCGCAGGCCATGCCTCACTTCCCCACAGAGCTCGTCACTCACTCTCTCCATGACCAGAAACGTGACCCTGACCAGCCACCAAGGGGCCGGGACGCACGAGACAGAGACAAGTGAACAGAATCAGCAGCTCCCACGGCGGCGCACTGCTCTGGCTCCCCCCGTTTCTACCTGACAACGGAACCCACTCATGGACGTCTCCTGCACGCTTTTTCATGGTATTTACTATTTCTCCTGAGGGACTAAACTCTCCTTCCATTTTTTGTCACGGTGAACAAGGAGGCCTGTCCATGCTACAGACGCGGAGGCCGTCTGTCCACCTGGCCTGTCCTCCCTGCGCACACACTTCCCATCATCACAGATACTGCCACTCAGCAAACTGAACAGACCGGACAACTCCTGTTCCACCAGAGACCCTGCTCTGCGTCTTTCGGCACCAGGATTCTTCAGCGCCAGCTGCAGCCAACTGGAAAAGAGGAAAATGGTCCTCTCGATGTGAAGTAACCTGGCACTTCCCTGCCTGCGAGGTGAGGCCGGGCACCCTCACCGTCCACGGCCGTGTGGGTCTGCTCCTCTCCTGCATGAAATGCCACACGTCTGCTCTGCCCCGTTTCCCACTGGACCCTTCACCTCGTCACAGGCAATTTTACAAGTCGCTGTACACTAATTAACTTTTTACCTTTCGACTGTGGTCAGACATTTACTCTGAATCTCTGTTTTCCCTACCAACCTATCCATGGTCTGTTCTTCAGTATAAGGCCCAGCAAAACTATCTCCTTGTGGAATTATTATTCCAAAATCTGTTAACTGGGGATTACATGCCAAGAGGGGAAACAAAAAGAAACAAAAAAAAAGCTAGAAAACCAGTTCTTACTACCGTTAGAAAACCCCTGCGAGGGCTTGCTGGGACCTGACATTCAGGGTCTGCTTTAAACTCGGGGGAAGGGAGGAGAAAGGAAGCGCTGGGAAAACACCACAAGGGTCTGTGCTCAGGGATGCTGGGTGAGACTCTGGGCCCCGTAAACTATTTCCCTTTACTTCTGTGCAGATTTGAAAATTTCTAAACTAAGAAGTCTTCTTCAGAGACTGAAACTGTCCTACAATGTCTCCTAAAATGTCTTTGAGGATTTTGATGATTGTAGTTTGTATGCATAAGTTTTTAGTTACTCTCACACTTAGTTTTAGATACGATTTTACCTCCTTCCACGTGGCACCTGTTAACACCATCACTCACTCAGTGCACTCCCCTTTCCACCAAAACCAGACACGCCTCTGTCACAGTGTGAATCCTTTCAGCTCTGAACAGAGTACTGCTCTCATGTGTTTTAAAGACTGGGAAACCAAAGTCCTAACTAGTTTTTAAAATAATTTTCTTGGGGATGCACCCTGCATGTGAACTTTAAATGTATTTTATAATCAAGTTAAAAAATTTTGGCCAGGGCTCGGCGGTGGAATGAAGCAGTGCATCAGCCTCTCACGAAACGGCACACAGGACTCAGCGGTAGAAATGAAAAGGTTTGTACACACAACGTCTCGCACATGAATATTCCTGGCAACCTCATTCACAACAGCAACAGACAGAAATAGTCCCGGTGTACTTTACTGAGTGCTGGCTGAAGGCACTCTGGTAAAACCCAACCGTGGGCTAGGAAGGCACAAACTGTGAACACACGGACAGCTCGATGGGGTCTCAGGGCACCACGCTCACAGAAAATGCCACGACCATATGAGTCGATCATGGCCTATTCTAGAAGGGCGGCAGGGGGGTGAGAATCCTAAGGGCAGGGGCTGTCTCTGTGGGAAGGACGCAGGTTTCTGATTGAGTGTGGAGTTCGTTACAGAAAGCTACAGATTGTGCATCAATCTGCACAAAAATAGACACACATGCCCACTCCACACACACATGAAGCCGCAAAACCGCAAAGGCCTGCAGTCCAGTAAAGAGGCAGGGCCTCAACACACGGTCCTGGCTGCAACACTGTGCGGCCGAACCCGGAGTCACTGCAGGGAGCGTGGGGAGCACAGCTAGGCTCTATTACTAATCTCATAACTTCCTGTACGTCTGTAATTATTTCAAAGTGAAGAATATTTTTTAAAAACAGACTGGATAATGCAGACCAACCCTCCACTAAGACATTTTTAAAAGCTAGACAAAATGAAAACACACAGGAAGTGCCTGCAGTCGCCAGAGAGCTCACGCGGCCCTGACGGGGACGGCGCGGCGGGGGCCAAGTCTCCCCGGCTCACGGCTGACTCCAGGGGGCGCCACAGAAACCAGAAATCCCCAGCAGTGCATCCAGGAGTGTCCCCAGCTAGCGGGAAGACGGGACTCCAGGACGACCAAGGGAGAACCGGGAAAGCCCTCGCCGCAGTTCTGAACCCGGAGGACCACACCTAGAAACAGGTGTGAAACGTGGGCCAGCCCAGCACTGACCCCTCTCACATCCTGAAACCCGACAGAGGTGACCCCGACAGCAAGCATCCACCTCCCGTCAAGGGCAAACGTCAAGTCTCACTGGGAGAGGAGAACATTCCAGGCCTCAAAGCATTTCTGTAATGTTTTGTTCCTGTGGCTTGGTGGAGATGCTTTCCGTGTATGATACGCCATCCTTCAGAAACAGCCACAGAGGCTCCAGGTGATGACATTAAACAAAGACTTTAAACCAAGCTTAATATGTTCCAGGACGTGAAAAAGATGAAAACTAAGAAGAATATGCAAACTATAAAAAATTAATATAAGTTCTGAGAAGTAAAAAAAGAATTCAAGGATGCGTTTAATGGCAGATATGGCACACCTGAAAGAATTTGTGACAATGAAATTTAAGTCAAAGAAAATGTTCCTGTAATCCCAGCACTTTGGGAGGCCAAGGTGAGTGGATCACAAGGTCAAGAGATCAAGACCAACCTGGCCAATGTGGTGAAACCGAATCTCTACAAAAAATACAAAAATTAGCCGGGTGAGGTGGCACATGCCTGTAGTCCCAGCTACTCGGGAGGCTGAGGCAGGAGAATCGCTTAATCCCGGGAGGTGGAGGTTGCAGTGAGCTGAGATTGTGCCACTGCACTCCAGCCTGGGTGATAGAGCGAGACTCCAACTCAAAAAAAAAAAAGAAGAAAAAAAAAATGTCCAAACTGAATCAGACAAAACCAGAGGAGAGAGGTAAGAGGCGTAAAGAATTAAGTGCAGTGAGATCCAGATGAGAAGTGGGTAATGAGTCCTAAAAGGAGAGGAGAGGCCAGTGAGCAATGTTCAAAGAGATCATGGCTAGGAATTTTTTTAAAGCAAACAAAACATCCACAGAAAATACAGATTATGGAACAAGTATGAACCCTAGAGCCCCAAGTCAGATAAACACAAAGGGAACTTGTTCTAGGAATATCACGGTAAAAGTGCTGAAAACCAAATAAAGATAAAATCTCAAAAAAAGCCGGGGAAACTTAAAAGATTGTCTCCAATAAAGTAACAAGTAGACTGGCGGCTAACTTCTCCAGAAGACAAGAGACTATTATTTTTAAAGTGCCAAAACACAAGCAAATGAAGAAATGCAAAGTTTCATTCTTAGCAAAAATAACCTTTAAGAGTCAAAGTGAAAAAAGAAAAAAAAAAAAAAGCTCTCTGGGAGGCCTCGCGGGTGGATCACCTGAGGTCGGGAGTTCGAGACCAGCCTGGCCAACATGGTGAAACCCCATCTCTACTAAAAATACAAAAATTAGCCGGGTGTGGTGGTGCGGGCCTGTAGTCCCAGCTACTTGGGAAGCTGAGGGAGGAGAATCGCTTGAACCTGGGAGATGGAAGTTGCAGTGAGCCGAGATCGCACCACTGCACTCCAGCCTGGGCAATAAAGAGTGAATGAAACTCTGTCTCAAAAAAAAAAAAAGTGGAAAAAAGCCATTTTGGGATAAACAAATGAGTGGGTGCCACCAGCAGACACACACTACGGAAAACACTAGCGTGTTCTCCAGGCAAAGTGAAAATGGTCTTCGTAGAAGGTGAGAAATGCAGGACAGAACAAGGAGAAGCAGCAGGTGTCTGTGTGGGTAAATCCCAGTGAACTCCCATGGAACAAGAGAACAGGGTGTCTGTACATGTAAATCCGAATGAACTCCGACTACGTAAAACAGCACAACGTCCTGTGTGATCTGAGACAGAAGTAAAAGTGAAGCCACGACAGCACCGGTGACATCTCTGCTGAGAGGACAGGGGAGGTGGCAGGTATGTTCAGGACATCTTGGGACGGAGCACGGAGCCCTCACCCCCACAGCAAGAAGTCCATTAACAGCGTATCCCGGCTTGCTAAGTCACGATCCTCCACACACCCGTGGCCAACTCGAGGCCCCCTGTCTTCGGCGTGAGAGGAGAGAACTTTTCCTGGTTCTCCTGACGCCTCTGGTGCGAGGCTGCAAGAGCCAGATGACCCTCTTCCTCCCGGCCCCCACCCTCAGCGATCCACATGTGAGCAGGATAAAAAAGCACCTGTGGTTTTAAGACACTGAAACTTGGGGATTGTTTCAAGAGCAAAACGCAGCCCACCCTGACTTATGGACCCCTCCTTCACCTCCGCTTTACTAAACAGAGCTCCCCTCCTTCACCTCCACTTTACTAAACAGAGCTCCTGTTTCTTTTCTTTGATCCTAAAGCATGAAATGCAAGAGCCACTGAGTCTAAGATGGAGATGAGGGGACGCTCGTCCTCCTGGCACCGGGGGAAGCAGCTCAGTTCCGGCCACGCTGAAGACACCCAGGATGCTCATCCCCTCTCATGTGAATATTCATGACAAAGGCCAACCTGTGCGACATGTCTTTGATATGGGAACAAAGGGGACTCGGACAACTCCCAAGGGTTGAGCCACTTTTCCCACAAAATGTGCAAAAAACATCTGAAGAAATCTGTGGTTCAACACCTCCAGGGTACCTGCAGCCGGGGTGCACTGGGCGCTCCTGCAAGCGGCATGTCACCGACGCACCAGCGTCCTCGGGTGCAAGGGTGCCATCATCTGGCCTGGGTGAGAAAGTGACCAGCAGCCCCTCCCCGTCTCCCACATGTAGCCCATGAACCCACGGAACTCTCACCCCGACAAAAGCTTCGAGTCTTGTCTCACTTGAAAGAACACATCTAAAACTAAGGATATCGGGAAACAGCTCTGTACACACAGAACTCAGAAATACAGAAGCAAGGAAAACAGCTAAAAAACTGAAAGGGTTGCTTTTGGAAAAATAAAAACGTGGGACTGGGAGATGCGGGGCCGAGACCACAGACGCTATGCAGAACGATTTCACTTTCTGAACTATGCCTGTTTGAAAGCTGAAAGGGAAACTTCCTATGAAGTGTAAAACTGAACGAGGAGGAGAAAAAACCCTGAGTTGACACCAAGGCTCAGTCAGGGTCACCAGGGACGCAGCTGGCTTCAGAGCCTGCAGGCCACAGAGTCTCTTGGGGCCAGCAAAGGCCCTGGAGGGGAAGAAGACGCATAAGGAGGGCCAGCTGCAGGGAGCTGTGGCCACGGCTGGGGAGTACAGGCAGCCAAGGGGCCCCCAGGGAGGGCGTGGGCCGCTTTCCGGGGGACACGCCCACCACGGTGTGAGGCCACATTTGCAGGAGTGAGTTTGCACTCAGCGGTGTAAGGGAGTGCAAACGCGGACTCCAGCAAACACACTCACGGTGCCGACACAGCTGGAGGTTGGCAGCGGGTCCAGAGCAGGGATGCCTCCCACAAAGACGCCGTCCTCCACGATGCCCCCGAGCAATCCATGCCCCGCGGTGAACCCTGAGGGATGCACCCCAACAGCACACGTGCCCCAGAGCAGAGCACGGGGGGAAAGCTGGAGCTGGGGATGGAGAGAGGCAGACAGACGACACCACCCTGCACCCAGCACCCCCAACAACTGACCACAGCCCACCGCCACCCTTCAGAGCACCGAGAACCCGGATGGCGTGAAGACGTCAGACACCAAAACCGTGGTAACGGCGCCTTTTAAAAACCCGGACAAAGCACATCAGTGTTTATGTTCCACGGTTGCTCAGTTACTTGGGCAGCCTGCAACGCCTGCCAGCAGGGAGCAGTGGGTGTGGTGGGTGAGGAAGGGACAGGACAGAGTGGCTACTTTGTATCACGTCTTTCCAAATACCATCATCAAAAAGCCCAACTAGAACCCACAACTCCCTCCTCTCCCGGCTACGTGCAAACACAGCCTCAGCCCAGGCAGGCATGTGGCGTGGAAAGCTGCCTGCGACGACCACACGGAGGCTCCGGGACCTGCGGCTTTTCCGTGGTTTCCTTCTGAGCTCGTGACTATTCTGCCCATCGTGGGTAGGTGGCAGCAATGCACAGGCCAACGGCACCCTGCGGCCAACAGCAGCCAGCACCCAGCAGAACCCCTGAGGGGCGGTGACTCTGGAGCCTCGGGGCCATCAACGCAGCTGCCCTGACCACACATTCAAGAAGAGCAGATGACAGAGCAGCACCTCCCCGTGGGCCCGCCTCACAGAGCAGGGGGGTGAAGGAAATGCAGCCAGGAAGGCGTCACCAACCACGGGGACTTGGAACACGTTCGACTGTCGCCGCTGGCCACAGGGACTCAGAACACCTTTAACTCTGTCTCCACTGGCCACAGGGACTGGGAACGCCTTCAACTGCGTCGGGGGCCACGGGGACTGGGAACGCCTTCAACTGCGTCGGGGGCCACGGGGACTGGGAACGCCTTCAACTCTGTCACCGCCGGCCATGGGGACTCAGAACGCCTTTAACTCCGTCGCCAGCCAAAGGGATTCGGAGCCCTTTAACTCCCCCCTTCACGGTGGACAGGGGCTCCTGTGCGGACTTCCTGCTCAAACACCAAGGGCGACCCTAAAAGCACACCCCACAGCACACGGGGAGCACGCGAAGGCCGTGTGAAGGTCGTGGACTGCCTCCAACTGCCATCTCCAGGGCACGACCCGTGTCGTGGGTGGGAACTGGGGGACACTGAACCCCTCTGAGAGCACCCGGCACCCCACCCCATCCCATCCCAAGCCAAGCTCCTAGATCCAGAAATGGCTTTTTACAGGTCACCAGCTGTCCACGATACGTGGGGGATGGTTTCGACCCCACTAAGGAGGCAACTCCGGGCACCCATGGGTACGTCGGAAAGGTGACAGCCCCGCACCACGTGCTCTGGAGGCATCTGAGGGACAGTGACCACGTCTACACGCAAAACATGACACGCCGGTCTTAGCCAGCAGGGACCACCTGCAGAACCGGCAGTCCCATGCCTCCGACGTCAGCTGACAGAAACTGGCTCAGGTTTCCAGGATTGACTTTCCCGTGACATCCATCAAACCCACGAGAACACTGAGCTGACACCAGCAGAAATGCAAGCTGGCTGCTCTCAGTACAGAAGCCGGCCGGGCTGGAGGTAGACGGCTGCAGGCCTCGGGCAGGTCCCCATCAGGTCAGGGCTGGGAGGTGTGGACAGAAAGCACAAGAGGCGGGTACAGCCCTGACATCCGGCCGTGGGCCTCCCAAACCCAGCCTGCTCTCCTCTGCTCGGACCACACAGACCTCAGCAAAAGTCTGCACACAACAGCAATTTTTCTAAGCTTCCTCACCAGCTGTGCCTCCACACTCACACTCACACTCACAGTCTCACAGCGGGGGGCTAAGGGTGGCGTGGGCTGGGCCGTTCGCAACGGCAGGGCCCTGGGAACTGTGTTGGGGGGATCCGGCTCCCTGGACCCTAGAGGTTGGCTGCTGCCATCGGGAATGTCTAGGGAAATGCAATCAGGCTTTCACTTTAATACTTTGTGGAACTATCTAAAATGTGTTCTACGCTTCCCTCCTCACACACCAGAAAGAATCAGCAAAGAGAAATGAGGCACTGCCCGACTGTGCTAACCCCCGGCGGGTATCAGAAGCTTGGGAATCAGGCGCAGACGTTCGCCTAGACTCGGGCGTGTAAGGAGCTTCGCCTCTGCTCAGCTTTCCTCTTGCCCCCACCTGAGCTTCCTGTGCTCGCCCAAAACAGCTCTGGGTCCCTGCACTGCTCAGTCCACCAGGGCAGGCCAGGGGCTGCTCTGTCCACCATGGGGCCGTGCTTGGAGGGATCTGCAATGACCACTGGGTCCACAGGTGAGCACTGGCCCCACTGCCCCAGCTGCCTCTGCTTCCTGAGAAATTTCCAGAACCAGTGGCTCCGGGGTGCAACCCCTCCCAGCTCACACTTCCTCTCGTTCTCTCTCTCAATCTCCATCTCTCAGTCTGTCTCTTGTAGGCACCGCTGGGCAAACCAGGCACACCACAGCTGCCGCCTCCACAGAAGAGACACACCCAGCCCTGCACCCTGGCAGGCCAATGGGCCACCCCGCACCCAGGAGCACGCCTCCCTCATCGAGGGAGCAGCCCTTTGCTGCAGCCTTCAGCCTTCAGACCTACCTGCTTGTCTCATGAGCTCTCCTCCCAGACCCCTGAAAAGGAATGAAAACATCAGAATTAGAAGAACCTCCTGATGTATAAAACACCATGAAAGATGCTTGCCAGTGTAACCTCGGGCTCCAAAAAGCACTACAGTGAGAACTAGTTGAATGTGTTACTGAGCATGAGTGACCTTTCACGAAAAAAGTAAAAAACGTGGTACAGCCATCTTCCGGAGGCCTTCCATCCTAGCTGGGTCATGCTAATTTTTAATTTTTCCTGGACATTAGAGTCCCGACGGGTATCCCATCACAGAGGTAACTCCAAGCAGCGCTCAGTTCTTACTTTATAAAAGCAATCTCAGACGCCAGAAAGAGCCCCATCCAACCTAGAGAAGCAGCGTGCTGCGGTTCTACCACAAGCGAAGCCAGGCGGGGCTCCGGGCTGCTCTGCCCGTCTAGGATGCCTGCCCTCCAACAGTGGGCCGGGTGACAGCCGCTCAACCCACACACAGGCAGTGCGGGGAGCGAACACATCCGTCCCACCTGCTCCTGATAGCACAGCTCTTCATTAGGACACAGATGTAAGAACTTTGGTTTTATAAAGCTCACCTGTATAACTGACGATCATAGAGCTGAAAATAAAAAACAAAGTTATTTAATAATTTAAATTTTAAAATAATACATACACATTAACAATTGTCAAAAATAAGAACAAAGAAGACGCCGTGCCAGCCAGGAGAGCCGCCTAGGGGGCTGGGGATGGAGGCCCACCTACTGACGCAGATGGCCTCATTTAACCTCCAGACAGGCCCAGCGCGCCCTTGAAGGGGAAACTGAGGCCCGGAGCGAGGGGAGGGTGGCCAGACAGGGAGCTGGAGCCACCTGTGTTCTGGTCCCAGGGACCGACAGAACTCACGCAGGCAGCCCTCGGGCAGGGAAGTGATCGTGCCCAACAGGATGCTGAGGTTTCTTTTTCTTTAAAAGAGCTAAAAAGCCACACGGTGATGAGCACTACTACTAAAATTTACTGAACATTCACACTGTGCCAAATATTCTCCTTAACTCTTTAAAATATATTATTTAACTCTCACAAAAACTCAAGGAGGTCGGCTCTATTACTGCCTATATTTTACAGGAAAAGGGAGCCATGGCTCAGCCTCAGTGGGGAGGCCACATTCATGGCGGCTGCCCAGGGCCACCTCCCCGTCTGCACTCTGCAGCCATGCTTGTCTCAGTCAGAGAGGGAGGACAGACACCACCTTAAAAGTGAAAAATGTAAGCAAAGTGGCTTTGCCAAAATCATAAAGCAAGTTAATGGCAAAAATAGGATAAGAATCCAAGAGGTGAATCTTAAAGAATCTAAAGCTATCTGGAACCACAGACAGTAAACCATGTAATCCCTTGTGAATAATTTTTATATTCTCCTGTAACACCAAGATCCATAGTTCATACTTTACCTCTGGGTCACAGAAGCCTTTGAGACTCTCTAAAAGCCCAGAAAGATGAACACATCATCTCCCCAGAGAAATGCACACACAAAATTCTGGTTGACTTTCAGGAGACGCCAGACCCCAGCTGCAGCTGCACGGCTGGAAACTAGAGGTTTTGTGCTTGTTCTGTGTGCCCAGCTCCACGAGAGCACGGGGCCCACTACCCCCACCCACAGCTGGCTGCGCGCTCCATCCTGGGACCGCGCCGGGCACCCCGAGGGAAGCCGCCTCCAGCTGCGGCTGAGACCTCCACTGACTGCACTGGCTTCACACGCCGTCCTCAGAGACCGAGGACACGCTGGCTCCGTGCACTCATTTCCCAGGAGTCTTTTCTCCCAGGGCAACCCCCAAGGTGGCTGTTCACAAGCATGACACCAGCATAGAGCCTGTTCCCAGAGCGATCACACCCAGGTTCCACCACTGAGCCCAGGACTGATGGAGCACAGCGGCCACCAGGACTGCAAACCCTGCCTGGAAAGGGTGGGAGGCCCTGTGATGCCTCCCCAGGGGCATACCCAGAGGCTGCACACAAACCTGCTGGTGAATCTGCTTCAGGCCCTGCACCGCCTGCTCGTCCAGATGGTCCGTGACGGGCCTGCAGAAGGTCAAACAGCGAGTTGAGGCCACACCGCCCAAGACCCTAACCCCGGGTACACTCGGAGAAGCTGAGGTCACACCCCCCAAGACCCCAACCCCAGGTACACTCGGAGAAGCTGAGGTCACACCCCCCAAGACCCCAACCCCAGGTACACTCAGAGAAGCTGAGGTCACACCCCCTAAGACCCCAACCCCGGGTACACTCGGAGGGGCTGAGGTCACACCCCCCAAGACCCCAACCCCGGGTACACTCGGAGGAGCATGGGCTCAGCAAAGTCTCCTCTTGTTCAGGTCCTGGTGGGTCCCAGAGACCTCTGCAGGACATACCTCTGATTATTTTTTTATTCTATTATATCGTTTTGTATTGCATTGTTTTGTTTATTTTATTGTATTTATTTCATTTTAGAGATGGGGTCTCACTGTGCTGCCCAGGCTGGTCTCAAACTCCTGGGCCCAAACAATCCCCCCACCTCCACCTCCTAAAGAGCTGGGATTACAGGCATGAGCCACCGCGCCCGGCCCATTTGTGACTTTAGATGAAGCAGTGCCTGGTCAAAGGAAGAGGATGTTGGGACATTCCCTTAAAGCTGTGACCCCTGCCAATGTGACCATCTTGGAAAACAGACAAGTCCAGGTGAGGCTGAGACGAGAGTTCATGTCCACTGCCATCCGAGGGAAGGCCCCTGGCGAGATCAGCCCTGGGCTGGCATCTGGGGGCCTGGATGCCAGCAGGGTTCCCACCAAGCCCTGCCGGATGAGGCCCCCTCACTGGCTCAATCTGCCCAAACCGTGTGCTTTACTCCGGTCACCTGCTCTCCTCCTGGGGGTCTGGAATTTTGTTTTGTGCCAGGTGGAGGTGCCCACATAGCCAGACCCCAGGCTGGCCTGGGCACTGAGGCTCAAACGTGCTTCCCTGATAGACACCTCACAGGTGAGGTCACATTTCACTGCTGGGGGAATGTCACAGGCTCTGTGGGACCCAACTGGAGGACCCTGGGAGCTCCTGCCTGGTTCTCCCCAGACCCCACTCCATGCGCCTTCTTCCTCCACCACAGAGCAGCGCCATCAAGGCCAGGTCTTGCACGGGCATCGGCCACACCCACACGAGCGAGTGAGTGTCCCTGAAGGAGTCGCACTGTGCATATCTGAGCTCGGGACTGACCAGAGCTCCCTCAGGCTGGGGCGGGAGGCGGCCCATACCCTGCTCTCCACCTGGAACTGTCTCCAGAGCTCCCTCAGGCTGGGGCGGGAGGCGG